TGAATGCTGAGGCAGGCTGAGGCTGAGGCTGAGGCAGGCTGATGCTGAGGCAGGCTGAGGCTGAGGCTGAGGCTGATGCAGGCTGAGGCTGAGGCAGGCTGAGGCTGAGGCCGAGGCTGAAGGCAGACTGAGGCTGAGGCTGAAGCAGGCTGAGGCTGAGGCTGAGGCAGGCTGAGGCTGAGGCAGGCTGAGGCTGAGGCTGAGGCAGGCTGAGGCTGAGGCTGTGTCTGTGACTGCCGTTGCCACTGCGACTGTCATCGCGAATGCGACTACGACTGCGAGAACAGCACAATTCTACAACTGGATTCTCATCTGAATCTTAAGGGGAATGCTTCCAGATATGCTCCTACACATCGCTGTTAGGTTGCTTTGCCGGGATAATTGAAATGATAATGCGCGCCTTTCGGCCCGATGCCCATCGAATACCAGTTCTGTGGGTGTGGTGTGGACGCCTCCTTATCTTCCTTATCTTTGACCACCTCGTACGCGAAGTCACGATCCAACACTAGAGCTCGGATCTGTTGGGACGTCGCCATCTCCAGCTTCGTCGAACTTTTTGGGTTTCCTTAGTCTCAACGAGGTTCGTCCCTTTTGTTTGACATTCTGCAGGTTGGCCTCCACCTGCGCAGCCAGCGGCATGGTACCGCACCGCAACAAATCAATGAAGTTGGTGTGGCGCACTCGCTAGAGATCGCCCACGAGGAGGCGGCGGAAATACGGGGCAGCTGTCCAATACGATAACATTTCCCTTCTCCTCTTTCCTCTTCCTTACTCTCTCCTCCTTCCGACTCATCCATCCATCCTTTTCTTTTTCCCCTTCATTCTCCTTCTCCTGATCCTGGCCTTCCTCAACCTCTTTCCTGCTTCCCTTCTTGTTCCTCATCGTTCTCTTCCTCATCCTCCTCTTCCGTCTCCCCCTCCTCCGTTTCGTCCTCCTCCGCCTTTCCCTAGTCCTCCAGCCTTTTCATGTTTCGATCAACCTGCGTGCAACCTACATGCACAAGCGTGGCTATCTTGTTTCACAGGATGCGGTAACCACGTGTATAACCAACTTTCGGCGATCACCTACTTAAGCAATCAAGCTCTCGTGATGGCTTCAACTCGAGTCTATATCGACAACGTACAAGCTGTACCACACGTTTAACACGTGGCTCGCAGCCTGTATACAATCGGTATACATCACCTTGAAGCACTTACCTCACCAGGGCGGTTTTCCAAGCAGCGATCTCTACGACAAAACTGGCTTCTTATCCCGAATCGTCTTTGACTGTCCCGAGGCCCCGCCAGGGCCCCAGGGGGCTGAACGTAGCAAATAGGAAAAGAATTCGCCTGGCGAAGGACCCAACCATATGCAGTTGTGAGTACCGTCTTCGTGAACAACGCATTCGATGGGGTTCCCTATAAAGCCACGAGACGCTGCCCTGGGTGCGGGAACCGCATGCGAACACCCCCGCTGGGGCCTTCGGTGGAGCTCCCCATGGGGCCACGAAGCGCTGCCCTGGGTGGGGGAGCGCATGCGGGCACCCCCACTGGGGCCTTCGGTGGAGCTCCCTATTGGGCCACGAAGCGCTGCCCTGGGTGGGAAAACCGCATGCGGGCACCCCCACTGGGGCCTACGGTGGAGCTCCCCATGGGGCTACGAAGCGCTGCCCTGTGTAGGGGGAACCGCATGCGGGCACCCCCACTGGGGCCTACGGAGCTCCCTATGGGGCCACGAAGCGCTGCCCTTGGTAGGGGAACCGCATGCGGGCACCCCCACTAGGGCCTTCGGTGGAGATCCCTATGGGGACACGAAACGTTGCCCTGGGTGGGGGAGCCGCATGCGACCCCCTCCCACTGGGGCATCGGCGGAGCTCCCTATGGGGACACGAAGCGCTGCCCTGAATGGGGGGGAAACGCATGCGACCCCCCTCACTGGGGCCATCGGTGGAGCTCCCTATGGGGCCACGAAGCGCTGCCCTGGGTGGGGGAACCGCATGCGCCCTCCCCCCACTGAGGCCATCAGCGGAGCTCCCTATGGGGCTGCGAAGCGCTGGGAACCGCGTGCGACCCCCCCCCCCACACTTGGGCCATCGGCGGGGGGGGCTCCTTATGGGGACGCGCAACGTTGCCCTGTGCGGGGAACCGCATGCGACCCCCCCCACTGGGGCCGTCGGCGGAGCTCCCTATGGGGCCACGAAGAGCTGCCCTGGGTGGGGGAACCGCATGCGACCCCCCCCCCCACTGGGGCCATCGGCGGAGCTCCCATATGGAGACGAACCGCTGCCCTGGGTGGGGGAGCCGCATGCGATCCCCCCCACTGGGGCCTTCGGTGGAGCTACGAAACGTGTAAGAGGTGTGCCGAGAGCAGAGGCAAGGAGGGGGAGGAGGGAGGAGGAGGAGGGAGAAACGGGAGGAGGAAGGAACGCGGGGCGCTGTCTCTTCAAAACGAAGACCCAACACCACAGGATGGTTGGGGAAAAAACGGCGTAATCATATTCTGTTGCAAGAAGTCCGCGTGGAGCGAAAACAAAACTTATGTTTACGGCAGGTTCGCGTCGTGTCGACCCCGGCGTTGGTTCCTCACACCGCGGGGATCGTTCAATCTTGAACGATCGGACGTTCTGCGAACGCCGGATTGTTCGACGACGGGCCGACTCTGGGCCTCCGGCGGCGTTCAACCTTGAACGCGCGCGGTGGGGTCGCCGCTGGTCGGCACGACGCGAACCTACCGTGTGGCATTTTTTCATCTTCGAGCAAAATAGCAAAACTGGCCCGGAGGTTTGGCTCGAATGGATAAACACGCTCGACGACTCGCAACATGACTCCTCGCAAACGGCTTGCATCCGCCGCGGGGCATGCACGATACATTGCGTAGGAAAAACAGCTTATTTCTATCGGACGTTTGCGAAAGGGCGCTTTGCGAATATCGGGTCGGGCGAAAGGAGGGGATAGCAAAGGGGGGGTTGAGAATCAGCTCGCGCAGCTGATTTTCCCGGCGCCTCCCAGTACCCGAAGCGCCCATGTCTCGAGGACTGGGCCCCTCGGTGGGGCCGAAACCAGCTGCATGTAGGAGCATATCTGGAAGCATTCCCCTTAAGATTCAGATGAGAATCCAGTTGTAGAATTCTGCTGTTCTCGCAGTCGCGCATTCGCGATGACAGTCGCAGCGGCAACGGCAGTCGCAGTCACAGCCTCAGCCTCAGCCTGCAGCCTCAGCCTGCCTCAGCCTTAGCCTCAGCCTGCTTCAGCCTCAGCCTCAGTCTGCCTTCAGCCTCGGCCTCAGCATCAGCCTGCCTCAGCCTCAGCCTGCATCAGCCTCAACCTCAGCCTCAGCCTGCCTCAGCCTCCTCAGCCTAAGCCTGCCTCAGCCTCAGCCTCAGCCTCAGCCTCAGCCTGCTTCAGCCTCAGCCTCAGTCTGCATTCAGCCTCGGCCTCAGCCTGCATCAGCTTCAGCCAGCCTCCTCAGTCTGCCTTCAGCTTCGGCCTCAGCCTCAGCGCCTGCCTCAGCCTCAGCCTGTTTCAGCCTCAACCTCAGCCTGCCTCCACATTCAAAATGTGGCCTGGGAATGTCGAAGAACACGAATTGGCCTACAGTTGGCTCCGGGCATTCAAAATCATGCCCAAGAATGGAATTCTGGGAACTCGAAGACCACGAAGTGGCCTACAGTTGGCTCCGGGCATTCAAAATCATGCCCAGGAATGGAGTCCTGGGAACTCGAAGAAAACCAAGTGGCCTACAGTTGATTCCGGGCATTCAAAATCATGCCCAGGAATGGAGTTCTGGGAATTCGAAAACCACGAAGTGGCCTACAGCTGGCTCCAGGCATCAAAATCATGCCCAGGAATGGAGTTCTGGGAACTCGAAGACCACGAAGTGTGTTACTGTTGGCTAAATAATGAATCCCCGGTTTTCCGGGGCATTCTGTCCAGATTCCTTTGAAAGGCAATCTTCGGAAGCAGGGCTGTAGCCAAGAAGGCTACGGGGACGATGATGATGATGATGATGATGATGATGATGATGATGATGATGATGATGATGATGATGATGATGATGATGAAGATGATGAGTCTTGGAAGTCTGGGAAGTGGAAGAGCACGAAGTGGCGTACAGTTGGCTCTGGGCATTCAAAATGTTGCCCAGGAGTGGAGTTCTGGGAAGTCGAAGAACACGAAAAGGCCTACAGTTGGCTCCGGGCATTCAAAATGTGGCCCGGGAATGGTGTTCTGGGAAATCCAAGAGCACGAAGTGGCCTACAGTTGGCTCCGGGCATCCAACATGTGGCCCGGGAATGGAGTTCTGGGAAGTCGAAGAGCACGAAGTGGCCTACAGTTGGCTCCGCGCATCCAAAATGTGGCCCGGGAACGGAGTTCTGGGAAGTCGAAGAGCACGAAGTGGCCTACAGTTGGCTCCGGGCATTCAAAATGTGGCCCGGGAATGGAATTCTGGGAGGTCGAAGAGCACGAAATGTGTGTGACTGTTTTGTTAAAACGAGCCCGGCCCTGAGCCCGGCCCTCGCTGTCCGGATGCCGCCCAGACCTCTCTTTTGAGTCATCAGATGCTCTCTTTTGACACCGCTAGAAACCTATCAGTCTTCGCTGGTAGGTAACAAATAATCCTAAAATGATCTGGGGACTAGTTTCTGAATTTCTTTTTATCCTTCTGGGGCATTTTTGGGGGTATGCTTCATTTTTCATCGAAAATCCACCTGTAGGGGGGGCAGGCCCGACATGAGAGTGGTGGAGCGCGCCCAGCCTGGGTAGTCGAAGCCAATCTGGCGCCAATCTGGCAGGCCCAATCTGGCAAACGGGGGCAATCTGGCGAGGGAGCCAACGCGAATCCAGTCTGGCGAATAACCCAAATCATCCAGTTTGGCCGGGCAAGATTGGCCCTTGGGGCCCAGTCCAATCTGACAGTCTGGCCTTCGACTACCCAGCCAGCGATCGAGGTCGCACCTCACGCAGCGGGGGCCGGGAGCCCCGCGCCCGCGCCCCGGCGGGTCACGGCGGCGCGGCCGCGCCACCCCGCCCGAGCACCGCGGGCGCCGCCGCGCCCGCCGCGCCCGCGCCCCCGGCGGCCCGCCGGCCCTCCTCGGAGGCCTCCGCGCAGCGCTCGCTGCGCGGGCGCTCCTCGGAAGTCTCCTCGAGAGCGGGAGGGGTGTCGGGCGAAAGGGGGGATAGCAAAAAAGGGAGTTTGAGAATCAGCTCATGTAGCTGATTTTCCCGGCGCTTCCCGGCGCCGGGGGCGGCCATGTATCGAGGAATGGGCCCCTCGGTGAGGCCGAAACCAGCTGCATGCAGCAAATTTCGTACCCCCCCCTTTCCCAATCCCCCCCTTTCGCCCGGCCCGAGGGAGGGGGGCCCAGGGACGAGCAGGGAGGAAGCAGGACGGGGTGCCGAGAGCCTCTGCCCCGTCCGCGCTTCCGGGGTGCTCGCCCTCCCGCCCGCCGCCCCTCTTTGTCCAGCCGGCGTCGTTTGCAATCGACGTCCTTTTTTGTGTCCGTGTCCATGTTTTCTCCTCCTCCTGACTATCCAGGCCGTGGGGTCCGAGCGCCCCAGCCCCCTCGGGGCGTTCACAAAAAAATGAAAAAACGGGCGGCTCTTGGTGGCATTCGACCTCTCTGGGGGCCCTCGCCTGGCCGCAGGGCGGTCAGGAAACGGCTCAGGATGGGAAACCAGTCCCGGGGATTTTTTGTTGTTGTTTTTTGTTGTTGTTTCCCCCCCCCCTGAAAGGCATGAGGGTGACTTACAGCACGTTCTGAAATGAAGCGATGCTCGTCCAGCAATGGGTCGAGACCCCTGGGTGTAGGTGTGCTGAAAAGATCATGGCGTCAGGGATCTGGGGATTGGGTCCGCGTAGATGGGGGCGGCGGATCGCGCCGCATCGCCGATACCTCGGCGACGTCGGCGTGGAGAACATCAGGCCCCACATCGAGCTGCATCGCCGATGCAGCGGCGATGCGGCGCGATCCTCCGCCGGCCTCGTCTGCTCGGCCCCCACTTGGGAGGCCTCTGGACTCCTCGCGGTGGCGGGGGAGCGCCGCTCGGTAGAGCAGCAGCCCGCTGGCGACGAGGACAGCGCTGCTGCGGTAGCACGCTGCCTCGCCGTAGTTCCGGATGATCGCTTGGCAATGCCAGGGGGGGGCCGCGTTGCGCCGGATCGAACAAGTCGGCCCTGCGCAGAGCTCGGCCCTCGTCGTGGCCTCCTGCCAGGGGGAGGGCCACGACGAGGGAGAGACCCAGCCAAGCGAAACTCGGCCCGGCGGAGCTCGGCCACAGGCGGAGCCTCGGCACCGGCCAGACTCAGCTTGGCCAAGCTCCGCCTGCTCCTGCCTCCTCCTCCTCCTCCTCCTCCTCGGCCGAGCTCAGCCTGGTCGAGTTCAGCTGCCCGAGCTCGGCCTGGCAGAGTTTCCCCCGGCCGAGCTGAGTTGCGGTCCCAGGGAATCGCCACCTCTTCTCGAGGCAGTGCCATTGCCTCCAGGAGACGGGCCCACAAGAGCCCTCCAGAGCTTTCCAAAACGGCCCCAGCGTCCAAGACATTTCTCGGGCTTCGCTCCTGGAACCCTCTTTTCCAGGAGGAGTAGGTGACCCCCTAAAGATGACCCCCTTGCCACTGCCCGAGATAGCTCCTCCGACGAAGGTCCCTAGCGAAGACCCGAAGCACGAGCGCAGCAGGTTCATAAAGGCCTGCCCGGTTGCCACGAGAGCGGCGGGCGTGATCGACGTCATCATCTGCACCGACGCCGTGCCGCAGAGGGCTACCGTCACACCGTGCAAGGGCTCAAAGAGCAGGACATACCAGCCACCCGGGCAGAGGGTGTAACCAACCACGCGGAACGAGTAGCACAGCCCAGCCATGGTCAGCAGGGCGTGCTCGCCGTATCTCTCCAGGAGCTGCTTGGAACGTGAGAACAAGGGAATCTCGAAGACGACCGTCACAACGACACTGAGGCCACAGAGAAAGTTCGATGCGTTTAGCTCCTTGAAATAAAGAAATAGCCGCCGACCCTTCTGAGGTACACAATCGAACGATATTCTGGCCCCTCCCCCAACCCTTCCCCGAATTGGGGCGGGTCGGCAATCCGAGTGCGCAGTCTGGAAAAGCCGAGCTGGGACAGCCCGGCCAGTTGTGTCGATTCGGTTTGTGAGGGTGCCGAAATGCTTTCATGCACGCCGACGACGGGAAAGGGCTGTCTCAATATGGCCTAAAGGTGTCAAGATCACTGGACTGCAGCCTGCGACAGCTCCACGCTTGCCCCAAGATTCCCGCAGATCCTTTCAAGACTGCCAGGAGATCCCGCGAGAGTTCTCCAACACTGCCTGTGGGACGCGCCTTCATATGCCCAAGCGTGGGACACGATCATGTGTTGCGTGCCCTTGTGCGCCTTAAAGACACCGTTGTTTTCGTTTTGCAACTCTGTTGGGGCTGGTCTACAACGCAAGGGCTACAAGTCGATATGTTGCTGAGACAAGATTTGCACGTTTGCGACAGCGCCGCGCTCTTTGCGGGATCTTCACTGGTATCCACACAGGTATTCCTTGGGCGCCCGACTAGGCATGTACTTAGGGGCGCGGGGACTCTCCAAGGTGCGAGCCTATGAGCTGATTTACTGTAGACGTGTCTTGGGTGCCTTGGGTGCCCCCCAGCAAACGTGCAACGGCGCGCGAATCATTTGGGCAAGCGGGCGCTAGAGTCCCGCTTGGTCGCACTTGATGAACAAAGTAACAAACAAATATCATTGGGAAATTATCACGGCAAAGCAACCTAACAGAGATGTGTAGAAGCATACCTGGAAGCATTCCCCTTAAGATTTAGATGATAATCAAATTGTAGAATTCTGCTGTCCTCGCGGTCGCAGCCTCAGCCTGCCTCGGCTTGCCTCGGCCTCAGCCTGCCTCGGCCTCAGCCTCAGCCTCAGCCTGCCTCAGCCTCAGCCTCAGCCTGCCTCAGCCTCAGCCTCAGCCTGCTTCAGCCTCAGCCTCAGTCTGCCTTCAGCTTCGGCCTCAGCCTCAGCCTGCCTAAGCCTCAGCCTGCATCAGCCTGAGCCTCAGCCTCAGCCTGCCTCAGCATCAGCCTGCCTCAGCCTCAGCCTCAGCCTGCCTCAGCCTCAGCCTCAGCCTGCTTCAGCCTCGGCCTCAGTCTGCCTTCAGCCTCGGCCTCAGCCTCAGCCTGCCTCAGCCTCAGCCTGCATCAGCCTCAGCCTCAGCCTCAGCCTGCAGCCTGCCTCAGCCTCAGCCTCAGCCTGCCTCAGCCTCAGCCTCAGCCTGCTTCAGCCTCAGCCTCAGTCTGCCTTCAGCCTCGCCTCAGCCTCAGCCTGCCTCAGCCTCAGCCTGCAGCCTCAGCATTCAAAATGTGGCCCGGGAATGGAGTTCTGGGAACTCGAAGAACACGAAGTGGCCTACAGTTGGCTCCGGGCATTCAAAATCATGCCCAGGAACGGAGTTCTGGGAACTCGAAGACCACGAAGTGGCCTACAGTTGGCTCTGGGCATTCAAAATCATGCCCAGGAACGGAGTTCTGGGAACTCGAAGACCACGAAGTGGCCTACAGTTGGCTCTGGGCATTCAAAATCATGCCCAGGAACGGAGTTCTGGGAACTCGAAGACCACGAAGTGGCCTACAGTTGGCTCTGGGCATTCAAAATGTGGCCCGGGAATGAATTTTTGGAACTCGAAGAACACGAAGTGGCTTACAGTTGGCTCCGGGCATTCAAAATGTGGCCCGGAATGGAGTTCTGGGAACTCGAAGAGCACGAAGTGGCCTACAGTTGGCTCCGGGCATCCAAAATGTGGCCCGGGAATGGAGTTCTGGGAACTCGAAGAACACGAAGTGGCCTAAAGTTGGCTCCGGGCATTCAAAATGTGGCCCGGGAATGGAGTTCTGGGAGGTCGAAGAGCACGAAGTGTGTGACTGTTTGGTTAAAGCGAGCCCGGCCCTGAGCCCGGCCCTCGCTGTCCGGATGCCGCCCAGACCTCCCTTCTGAGTCATCAGTCAGATGTTCTCTTTTGACACCACTAGAAACCTATCAGTCTTCGCTGTTAGGTAAAAAGCTGCAGGGGATGCGCGTACAATTTCTTGTTGACAAATCGTGTTGCGAAACCATTGCTGGGTTGAACAAAAATTCCCGGGAAGCTGGATCTTGAAACCCGTGCGATACCGAACGTTTTTGATGGATTGCGATATGCGCGCGCCACGCCGTGCGCGTTTCGAAACTGAATTGGTTTTGATAAGCGAGTGCGCGCACAAAATTATTCGACACGGGTGAGGGCGGCGGTACAAAGATCTGGTTGGGCTGGTATGGACTCATACATAGAACGAGCGATGTGGCAAAATCGTATGTCGCACTACCCATGGGGAACGATCAACCCGGAGGTGAAAGGATATCCATATTTCTATTCCAACCAGCTGGTGCTAACTATTAGAGTGTCGACTCCGCTGCTCGCACAATCATCCCACCCACCCGCCCGCAACTTTGTTTGCAAAACAAATGCGGTGGCGATTGCGATGACTACTGTGCGCTGGCTGGCGCATCGCTTCTGCCGTGCTAACGAGCGCAGGCTCGTTCGCAGAGCGGCCAGCTAGTGTGCCGCGGCAGGCGCGGTTGCGGTGGCGCTAACCGCTGGGGGGTTCCCAGCGCGTCTCGCAGGCCGCGCAAACGCACGGGCAGTCCGTGCGAGTCGGTGGCTCGGGCAGGCGCGGTATTATGGCGACGCCGACAACGGCAGAAACGATTATCACAGTAGCGTTGAGGGTGGCGATGATGATTGCGCGCGCGGCGCGACGGGCGCGAGTGGCCCGCATGGTACTGTTTGACAGGGATTGTGCCGCTCCCAAGCAGGCGCGCAAAGGCGTTCGAATGATTCCGGCATGCTCGCGCGAGAGGCCCGCTTGGTCGCATTTGATGAACACGTTGAACAATTTTTGTTGTCGCGTGAACTTGCAAGAGCGCGCGCGAATTTATTTGAAACGCATTGCTGCAAAACCGTGTTGAAACAATGTGTTGAAACCTGCGAGAGATCACGCTGTTGAAAAACTTCGGCCGGCACACGCGACGACGCGCGCGTGGATTCTGTCACATCGTTTAGAAGGCCACTACGAGCGTGCGTGCATATATACATATATATGTATATGTATATATATATATGTATATATATATGACAGGGATGACGGGAGGTTGATAAACAAAAAACACCCCCGGGGTTGATATGACTATTTTTCTTATAGACAGACAAACAAAAAACGACGGGGCAAAACTGTGGGCTAACATACGAACCCAGGGGGTACAACGAACACTGGGGGGGCATCCTGTCTTTTTAGAACGAATAAATACAAGTTGTGCAAACGATTTGGTGCAATCTATCTAATGAAATTCACTTGCCGAACTTGAAATTGTCAACTCCACTGCTTGCGCAATCATCCCACCCACCCAACCCCAACTTGGTTTTCAAAATTTCTTAAGACCGTGACGGTGGGTACCAAATGGCACTTGGCAGCGACAGCGACGCCGACGACGACAGCGACAACGACGACGCCGCCGACAACGACGACGACGACGCCGACAACGACTACGACGACACCGACGACGTCTCCAACGACTTCGACGACGCCGACAACGACGACGACGACGACACCCACGACGACGACGCCGACGCCGACGACGACGACGACGACGACGACGATGACAACGACGACGACGATTACGACGCCGACGACGGTGACGACAATGACTACACCTACGACGACGACGACGTCAACGACGCCGACGACGACGACGACGTCGGCGGCGACGACGACGACGCCGACGTCGACGCCGACGCCGACGACGAAGACGACGACGACGTCGCCAACGAAGGCGGCGACGAGGGAGGAGGGAGGACGACAACGGCGACAACGACGACAACGACGACAACGACGAGGGAGGAGGGAGGACGGCGACGACGCGAACGACGAAGAAGGAGGAAGGACGGCGACGCCGACGACGACAACGACGAGGGGAGAGGGAAGACGACGACGACGGCAACGACGACGACGACGACGGCGACGAAATAGGAGAAACGACGACGAGACGCCGACGACGGACGACGACGACGACGAGGGAGGAGGAGGAAGGACGACCACGGCGACAACGACGGAAACGACCACGACTCCAAAGAAGACGACGACGACGACGAACACGAGGAAAGACAGAGGACGACGTAGGCGACAACGACGACGACGCGGGAGGAGGGAGGACGGCGACGACGACGACGACGACGACGACGACGACGACGGCGCAAGAGCGCGCGCGCACGCTTTTGTTGAAAATCCGTGTTGCCAAGCCTTGTGTTTTTGTTTGTTTTTTCGACGCACGATTTTGAAATCCTTCCGAAACCGATGGGTTTTGACGGATTTCGACATACGCGCGCGACGACGCGCGCGTCTGCACTTCGTCGCATTTTTTGCAGAGGATTCTCGCGACGGCACACGCGCAAGGGCGTTCGACTGATTTCGACATGCGCGCGCGCGAAGCCCGTTCGGTAGCATTTCGTGACAATCTTGAAATTGACACTCCTGGAATCCTGAAAGCATTGAGGCACATTTACGGTAATGCGCTCTCAGCACTCCTGACACAGAGGACCCACCAACCACCAGGGAAAGCCAATACATGTTACGCCCTGCCCAGTGCGCTTCGCCAACTGTATAAGGGCCGCTCACACTTTGCATGCACACCGCCAGCACTGTCTGAGTTCAACCCTCCTGGCAACTTTCAGGGGACAGACGGTTTCGTCGCCGCGAGGCTTCTCAATTAGATTCTCTACGATAGTCATCCCATATCCCAATACAATTGTATACAAGAAGAAACCCAACACAACCTTGTTTGACCACCACTCCGCGATCAAAACACCTAGAGCACGACTGTCGGCAAGAACCACTAATCCAGTCGGCTTTTTAGCGTTACTCACCTCCTGGGAAGTTGGCGCTGGCACACCGGGCAATCCAATCGACGCCAACACAATCAACAAAGAAACGCACATAACAACAATCAATCGGTGCTGAACGAAACGCCCGGCAATGTCGATCAATATCCCAAGCGCAACGTGCATGATTGCCCATGAAACGGCGCCGTAGAGCCGCTCCTCTCCATAGCGTTTGCGATCGCTCAGAGCTTCGAGCGTGATGGCATCCAGGAGGACGAGGGCCGAGTTGTTGCAGGCATTGAACGCTATCCTGCAAACAATCATGACATGGAACCGCGACAGCGATTCCGCACGTACGAGCTGCATAGAAAAGCTGAACGTGCCCAGCACCACACAGATCGCATAGCACACGTGCCTGGCCGCAGGCGACCTCTGGTAGAGGCGGTCGGCAGTGAACCCGACGAGCGTCGAGGCGAATGGGCCCGTGAGGCTTCCCGCGGCGAAGACCGCGCCGATCTCCGCCTCGTCGAGGCCCTCCGCCAGGTAGTACAGGCTCATGAAGCGTGCGAAGCTCGGGTCGGGCGAAAGGAGGGGATAGCAAAGGGGGGGATTTAGAATGAACT